TTCTGTGTCCTCTAAGCTCCCGGGGAGCCCCGGTTGCGTGGCTTGAGCCATGTGGGGTGATGCCGGGAGCTTGGACAACTGTCCCCATAGAAAGCCTCCGCAACCATCCTCCTCTCCAGGGTCGGTGCCTGCTGCTAGGCCGGAGGCCCGTGAAGGGGGCGAGGACATCACCAGCTCCGCTCTAGTCCTCCTGGCTGAGTCTGGTGCTACTTTTGAGGCTCTGGGGGACAGCAGCGATTCTGAGACAGGACAAGTCCCATTTAACATCCTATCACGCATAACTATTACGTTATTTTAACGATCTTACACATATTTTATAACCTATTTTTTCACTTCATACTATGTTTTGAGCGTCTTTACATGTCAGTAAATACACCTCTATATTCATATCATTTTAGAGGCTTTTTGGTTTTTTTTTAAGATTTATTTATTTATTTGAGAGTGCGAGAGAGCAGGGTGGGGGGAAGGGCAGAGGGCGAGAGAGAAATTCTCAAGCAGACTCCCCATGGAGCACAGAGCCCAACAAGGGGCTCGATCTCACAACGCTGAGATCATGACCTGAGCTGAAATCAAGAGTCGGATGGATGCTTAACAAACTGAGCCACCCAGGCGCCCCTCATATCTTTTTAAATGACTGATCAGTATTCCCTTGTATAGATATACTCTAACTTACTATATCAAGCTCCAATTGTTGGCTGTGTTAGGTTATTTCTAATTTTAGATTATGACTGCTAATGCTATGACTGGGCCAATTTATGTGAAGATGATGAAGCTTCAGCTGCAGGGTCCCTCTCAACTGTAGAAACTCAGGTCCCACAAAAGCTGGATGTGTACTTGGCTCCGATAAACATCCTCACACTCAATTTTCCTTTGGCTACATCTTTATTTCCTTAGGATAAACTCCTAGAAGCAGAATTGCTAGGTTAAAGCAGATGCACATTTTTAAGATTCTTGGAACATATTGCCTAAGAGCCCTCCAGAAAAGTGATCTAATTTACACCTCACCCCCACCCTGCATGAGAACACCCAAGACTGGGGTGGCTTCTGTGGGGTGTGGTTCCATTGTAGCTGCCATCAGCTCCTTCTCCCCAAAGCAGAGTCCTTGAACTAAGATCCAGGGGACCCACGGGTGGAATTCTTGAGGTCTGGGAACTTGGATGAGAAAAAAAGCTACATTTTTATTTTCATCATTAGCCTTGAATTGAAACGTAATAGTTCTTTCCATCATGAGTGTAGACCTTGTACAAACCCCCATAATATTAGCAGTGCCTATTACGTTAGCAGTCCCTTCACCAACAAAAATTACAGATGTTTTCACACCTTGTTACAGTTGTTGCAGATCTCTTAAAATATTGTTCATACCCACTGGTGCTTTGAAATTACAGTAGTTATTAGACCTACCACTAGATCTCATTATTTGAAGTTAATAAAAAACATATATTACTCAGTCACAATTATTTTTTTTTTAATTTTTTATTTATTTGAGAGAGAGAATGAGAGAGAGAGAGAGCATGAGAGGGGGAGGGTCAGAGGGAGAAGCAGACTCCTCGCTGAGCAAGGAGCCCGATGCGGGACTCGATCCTGGGACTCCAGGATCATGACCTGAGCCAAAGGCAGTCGCTCAACCAACTGAGCCACCCAGGCGCCCCACAATTATTTTCTTAATATTTTGATAACTACATTCAACAGAATTTATTTCCTTTGTAATCATGTGTATTTTTTGTTTTAACAAATTAAAACACCTTATTCTGAGAAGGGGTCTGTAGGCTTCAACGGACTGCCAAGGGGTCCACGGCACAATAAATGTCAGAACACTTACTGTAAGAGACTCTACCTTCACGTGTTCTTGAAATGTGTGCATGATACAAAATGAAAGAAATCGAACTTTCATGACCCCCCCTGGAGCCAGGCTTTGTGTCAGGTACTGGAGTATAGAGGGGATAGGATGACACCTTGTTTTCGAGAAGCTCATAGTCTAAGTAGGAGATACCATTCCACAGCTTGGGCCACTCATTGCCGTGTTGGCTGGGGTCCAGGTTCTCAGATTTCCCAGGATTTTAAGAAAAATTAGAAAGCCAGATATGATATGTTCTCATATAAGACAATTCTTCCAATTTTTAAATGTTGGCAATTAAACCAGATTTTTTTTAAAAGATTTTATTTATTTATTCATGAGAGACAGAGAGAGAAAGGCAGAGGCAGAGGGAGAAGCAGGCTCCCCACTGAGCAGGGAGCCCGACGTGGGACTCGATCCCAGGACCCCGGGATCATGACCTGAGCCTAAAGCAGACGCTTAACCATCTGAGCCACCCAGGCGCCCCTAAACCAGATTTTAACAAACCACTGTGTGGGCCAAATAAAGCATGCCTAAAGGCTAAATCTGGCCCATAGGTCACCAGTTTTCAACCTTTGCTCTAGGAGGAGGACAGAATTCCAGTTAGGGTGGAACAAAGCAGCAGGGATTCTGAGCTCCCTCCACCCACAACTCCACTCTGCTCCTGCAAATCAGGGAGACAGAGGATGAGAGCCCCAAGTCTTGGGAAGAGAGGACGTGGAAGAAGAGGCTCTATGGTGGGCAGGGGGGGGGGTCCCTGCAACCTGGCTGCAGGCCAGGCAAGGAGAGGCCTGGCTGAGGCAGATGCTGCTGTGGGGAGGGTAATCTAGGGAGCTGTGGGAGCAGTGAGGTCAGTAAATGGTTGTATACCTAGAAAACCCAAGAGTCTCTGCAGAGAAACAGAAAGCAAAAACATATGCAAAACCAAAAGAAACAAACAAAAAACTTTATTTGAGTGAAGAAAAATTGATAAGGTTATTAGGTGCAAGATAAATATACAAAACCAATCTCTTTTCTCTGTTTTGAAAATAAGCACATCAAAACGGAAATGGAAAAAAATATTCCACCTATAATGTTGACAAGAAGTACAAAATAGTTAGGAATAAATTTAACAAGAAAGATATAGGGCCCACATGAAGAAAGCTATACAATCTTGTAGAAGGATTGAAAACAAGTTCTGAACAAAAGGAAAGACATACCATACTCTTGGATGGGAGGCTCTGATATCACAGAAATGTCAAACCCCCCCCCAGATCAATTCCAAACAGCATGAAATGTCTATTTGGAAGAAGAAATGCCTGAAAATAGTAAAAAAAATTATGGAAGATAATAGCAGTGCAAGAGGACTTACCTTATACATATCAGAACAAACTCTAAAATCAATCACTAGAGTATTGGTATAGGAATAGACGTAGATCAGTGAAATATACAGAGGAGGAAATCCAGAAATAGATACCAAACATATATCAGAATTTAACATTTGACAGAGTGAACTTTTAATTATTTAATAAATGATGCTGGCACAATCACTGTTCACCTGGAAACAAAATTTGACCAACCACCCAACTCCATAATCAAAAATACATTTCCGATTACTTAAAAGATTTAAATGTAAAAAATAAAAGAAGGAAAAAAACTAGGAGACTATACGAGCAATCTGAGTGAAACAATCGAATCGAGAACTCTAAAGGAAAAGCAAGGCCCCAAAACACTGGGGGGCAGATACATAAGCAGAGTCAATAGACAAACGAGACTTTGGAAAACATTTGTTACAAAAGTGCTAAAGTTGAATAACTACATTGTACAATGAGGTTTACACCTTGACAAGGAAAAGATAACAGAAAAATGGGCAAAGGACAAAAACGGGTGATTCATGGAAGAGTTCATCCAAATGGCAAACAAACAAAGGAAAAGCTACTCAGATCCAGCAATAGGGAAATGTGATTTAAAGTAACAATGGGTGACCACTCTCCAGACCACTCTTTAGCTATTACCTGCATTTCTGGCAGGGAAATGCAAAAAAGATACTCTTATAAGTTGTTCATGGAAAGGTGAAACATTACTGTATTTTTTAAAGGTAAGCTTTATTAAAATCATCTATATCATATATATAATATCTATCCCTTGATCTAGAATTTTGCTTTAAGAACTTATCTGACAAAAGTACAACTCCCAGAGATATGGGCATATGAACAAGGATGTTTTTGCAGTATGTTTACAATGGCAAGAAAAGATTAAAAAGTGAATGTCTCTCAAGTGGTAAACAGCTGAATAAATTATGGAATATTCACACTATGGAATATTATGTACTGTCAAAAATGAATTAGAGCTAGGGTCGCTTGGGTGGCTCAGTCCGTTAAACGTCTGCCTTTGGCTCAGGTCATCCCACATCGGGCTCCCTGCTCAGCGGGGAGTCTACTTCCCCCTCTCCCTCTGCCTGTCTGCCTCTCTCTCTCTCTTTCCCTCTCTGTCAAATAAATAAATAAAATTAAAAAAAAAAAGAATTAGAGCTATATCAGTTTGCTTGGGGGGGGATTTCTTTGAAGTACTGTTGAATAAAAAAAGTAAGATGCAGGAAAATGTATTTACCATGATCCTGTTTTTATAAAACAATGATACATGCATGTGTATTTGCATATAATTTAAATGTGTCTATCAATGATAATTATAGAGAAAACACACAGAAGGTGTTACTAAACACACATAGATATGAGAATGTTTCAAGTTACCTAGGATCAAAGAGGAGGGTTGGTGCAAGCTAATATGGGTGGTGCAGGAATGGAGGAGGGAGCCAAGCCCATGTTGCCTGCCCCCACCCCCGCCCCTCCCCCAAATTACAAAGCAAGGGCCTTTGGAAGGGGACTCTTACCCTGTGGCCTAGCCCCTTTCCCCCCACGATGCTTGACTCCTGGGACCCCTCCTTTGGCCATCCCTCCCACCAATCTATATGTGGCCTTCCATATTTTTCTCCATGATTCTAGAATAGGGCAGCCAAGGCATTGAGAGAGAGAGAAGACAGAGGGTCCCAGTGTAGGCGGCCGCTTTCAGGACATGAAAATTGGCCTCAGGATCTAGAGTGTGGTTCTTACTCTCCTGGGCATTTTGGCAAATCCACAGGAATGAGGGCAACAGGCGAAAAGGACTATTATTAATCCACTCTCTCATCTTTTTTTTTTTTTTTTTAGGATTTTCTTTATTTATTTGACAGAGAGAGATAGCGAGAGCAGGAACACAAGCAGGGGGAGTGGGAGAGGGAGAAGCAGGCTGCCCACCAAGCAGGGAGCCCAATGCAGGGCTCGATCCCAGGACCCCGGGGCCATGACCTGAGCCGAAGGCAGACGATTAACGACTGAGCCACCCAGGCGCCCCTATCCACTCTCTCCTCTTAAGTCCTCCTCCAGGCTCGGCTTACAGCTGGCGTCCTCAGAGAGGACATCTCAGTTACACCTCCCCTTCGTTTCCCCGCATAGCCATTCTGTCCTTATCCGTGTGTGCGTGTGTGTGCGTGTGTGCGCGCGTGTGTGTGCCCACGGCCCCGTGTGAACATCCGTTTCCTCCAGCAGACAGCGAGTACAGCGAGGGGCGGGACCTTGTACGCCCAGCACCTAACGTGGTGTGTAGCAGGGGCTTAAGAAAAATAAATGTCAGTTGAATGTAGTAATTCACTTACTCATTTATTCTCCTCTTCATTGACTCACTCTTCCATTCATTCCTTTATGCATGTATTCCCTTATTCATTCCAGAAACATGTGCTATTGGCCAGTGATGTTTCCCCTGATCTGGGTCTTCCACTTTCTGGGGTGGCTTTTGGTGTGTGCGGGGTGGGTGTGGTTGGGACATGACTGCAGAATTTCAGGAACACGTCCACGACTTGGATGAGTCGGAAGCTCTCCAGGGAAGGAAAGAAGATTCCAGAAGGCTGGAAGGTTGGGGTGGAAGGTGCTAAAGAACCAGAGAGGACAAAGTCGGGAGACTCCTCTCTGCCCCGTCCAGACCCAGGTTTGCTGGTTCCCGTTCGTTCTGCCTGGGAAGAACCTCTCCCCACCTCCGAGTGTTGAAATCCTACCCTTCCCTGCCTGGCCAGCCCAGATGTCCTCGAAGTCTGCTCTCCTCCAGCTGGAAGGGCCGCTCCCTGCTGCAAACAATCTTCCCGAGCACAAAATCTGGACCTCCCTCGTGGCGCTGACCACTTCCCGCTTGTGATGAGGTGTGGCCTCGCCTTCCACCCAATAGGCAGAGGCCCTGTCTGACTGTTCCCAGGAACCCTGCGGGGCCCAGCACAGAGCGGGTGCTCAAGCCACTCAGGCCTAAAGAGTGAACAGCACTGTGCTTTTGGTGGGCAGTGATTATGACCCCATTTTAGGGATGGGGAAGTGGAAGCACAGACAAGTGGCAGGACTTGCCCTTACGGCCAAAGCAGAGCCTAGACTTAGCCCTGCGTTTCTGGTCCCAGAGGCAGGGATCTTTCCAGGGCGGCTTGGTGGGAGGTGGGAGGAGGGTGGGGTGGGGTGGGAGCTGGGTCCTGAGAACCAGTGGGCCAGAGAGATTTGGAGTTCGAATGGCCAAGTTCAGGAAAAGCACAGCTGGGGAGGAGCCAAGGTATTTATTATGCTTGGTCTCCCGCTCCAAACAGAGCTGATGGATGGAGCTGCTCCAGTTCCTATAAACAGCTCTGGCCTCCCTCCCTTCTGCCCCTCCCCACTCTGAGCCACCACAGCCCCAACTGCTTCTGGGTTGGGGGGGGGATTGGTGGAGACGACCAAGGGAGGGAAAGGAGAAGTGAAGAGTCAGGGAAGGAGGAAAGGAAGAAGATAAAACAGGGTCCCAGGGGCAAAAGAAAGTGATGGGAGGTAGAGGATGTTGAGAGAAGATTTTTCCTTTGCCTCTTCACTGGCCAGGCTGCCCACATCCTGCATCCCCCCCTCTGTGTCCCCTGTGTCCCCTGCATCTGTCTGAGAAGCCCGTTGCCCCCTTCTCTTTCTGAGGGCTGATCTTAATCCCCATAAGTGTTTAAGTCCTGCAGGGTCGGGGTCCTGCATTCAGGAAACCTTTTCTGAACTCACCTTCTGTGTTGGTTCACAGGCCCTGGGGACACAGAAAGGACTCAGGTAGAAGCTCTTAGTCTGGTGGCAGATGAGGCAGGGATCTCCACCGCTGTGGCCCACAGCAGCCTGGGGCTGTGGAGGGAAATGAGGGCAGACTCCCCAGAAGAGGTGGTACAGGCCAGAGTTGAAACAGGAGTTTGGCAGGTGGGTCCGGGTAGGTGAGACATTTCAGATGGAGGAGATGGGAGAGAGCCTGGTGTTGGGAGGTGGGGAACCCCATGGTCAAGACCACTGACTCTGGAGCAGGGCATACCCGGGTTCCAGTCTCAGCTCTGGTGCTTTACCACTGTGGGAACTTGAGCCTCTGTTTCTTTAAAATGAGGTTGATAATAACAGAAATCTCTTCAAAGATGGCAAGAATTACATATAACAATGTACATCAAGTGCTCAGTGCAGGGCTGACCCGGAAGTGGTCACTAATTGTCAGCTCTGAGCACAGGGTTGGAGGTAGCCAGAGAGAGATGGACCGCAGGGCCCTTGTGAGCTGCCTGAAGGACAGGGGCACAGACAGCAGACTGTGGCTCCTGGGCCATGTTGTGGGGGGGTGACCGCCCAGGGGACTGAGAAGTCAAGGCAGCTAGTGGGCCGTGAGTGCTGCCTGCCTCCCCTCCTGCCCACCAGGCCCAGGAGCCTCCAGGAGTGCCATAGCAGCTTACTGAGTTGAATGGGCTGGATGACCCGGCACCGCAGGCTGAGACGTGGGGAGACGAGGGCCTCCCCTCTCCCTGGAGCCTGCCGGATGCTCTGATGATCTAGTTGGCAGCTGTGTCCATGTTTGGCTGAAAACAGGAATTTCTGCCTTGCTGGAAGTCTTGGCCAGGTAAGCAAACTCCCGTTTGCCAGGAAAAGGGGTCAGGGACCTGGTAGACTCCAGCTGGTGTGGAGGTCCTGGGCTGAGCTCGGCCATGCTATTGCCTTCCCTTAGGCCTTCACTGAGCACCTACTGTGGGCCAGGCCACTGAGTCACGTGCCTTCTCACCCCCAGCCCCATCTATGAAATAGGCATTTAAAATTTTCCTTTGGAGTAGGAACTGGGAGGTGAGAGGTCAGAGCCCGGAGAAGCTGCCTTGGAGAAATCTCCACGATGTTTGGGGCTAGAGGAGGTGGAGCATTACTGAGCTGGAACCTGTGGGAGAGGAGGCAGGGAAGAGAAGATAGGCACCCACAAAGGGGGTAATGTCTGGGTGCCAGGCAGCTGAGAAGGGGAGACAGGGCCACAGGAGGATAGGCACAGGGGTCTGCAAATTGGTGGGTGGGGGAACTCCCTGCCCTCATGACCCCACCTCAGAGGCCCTCACCCGCCCCCCACCCCCACCCCCACCACAGGTGAGGTGGCTCTTGTCCCTTCACCCAGACCTCATAGCCCACACCGTCACCCTCCAGTTCCCTTCCAGAAACCAGGCATGCTCTTCTTCAAGGTCAGTCTTGAACTGCAGCCTGACCACTTGCTCAATTCTCTGGCCCCTGGGAGACCTTTAGCTCTCCAGCTGGGGAGGCCTCTGGGTATCAGGTATCAGAGCTGGATGCTCAGGGCTGGCTGGGGTTGGAGACAGAGATATGGGCATCATCAGAGCGACGGAGTGGTTACGACAATGAGGGTGATGACATTCCTGAGGGAAGAGGGCCTGGGACAGAGTCCTGGTGATTACCACTCAGATGCCCTGAGGAAGATGAGCACATAGCAGAGTCCGAAAAGGAGCGGTTTGAGAGCAAGATGGAAACCAGTGGGGCGGGGGTGCCTAGATGCCAAGGAGAGTGTGCTGAGGGGAGGGCATGGGGGACAGGGAGGATGGGGTGAGAGACCCCCGCAGCTGAGGGGTCAAGGAGGTCCAGTCTGGAAAGAACACAGAGTTCAGCAAAGGATATCCTTGGTGACCTCAGCCAGGGCAGTGTGCAGGGAAGGGAGGGCAAAGGCACGTGGGGTGGGTTGAGAATGGAGGGGAGGAGGAGGGGGCTACTTCACCAGCAAGTAAGGAGGAGGAAAGGGAAAGTGGTTTAAGGGTCTTTTTACTATTTTTCAGGTAGGCAAGACTTCAGCACAGCCACGGTGTGAAAGGAAGACGTGAAGAGAGAAGAGAGGCTGCAGAGGGAGGCCCCAGAGGTGGGCAAGACAGATAGCACGGCTTCTACCATGAGGCAGGGGGCTGAGCACAGAGAGAAGGTGAGAACAGGAGCTACCCAAGAAGGAAGGTCTGGGTGGGGTCAGGACCCGTTGAGTGTGAGGGTCAGAGGTGTGGCAGGGGAATGAGGGCTGAGGCCCCATGGTCCAGGGTGGTGAGGACCCAGAGCCCCAGTCTCCCCTCAATGGGGTTCGCCATGAGCATTCAAAGACCGGGATGGAAGTAGAGGGAGCCCAAGTGGACGCAGTGATGCCAATGATCCGCGGCAAGGAGGAAGCTGGCAGGCCACACTGTTTCTCCAAAATTATATTTTAATACATTCATGTGGGTTATACAAAGAGCTGGTCCCCAGGCGGGAATTGCGGCCTGGCTCCTTGAGGTGAGAGCAGCATTGTGTAGTGTTTTCAAAAATCAGGCCTGAAGGGGCCCACACCTTGCCCTCCAGGCCTGGGGAAGAGTGTTCTGGGCAGTGAGCACCTGTGGTTGTGATTCCAACCAGGACTGGGTCCACCTGGCTGTCCCACACGCCACCAGGGCCCCAGGCTGAGGCCAGGACACCAGCTTCTAGCCCCGGCTCTGCCACTGACTCCCTGAGTGCTTGACCCTCTCTGGGCCTCAGTTTTCTTGTCTATAAAACGGGGCAGAGAGAAGGGTGTTTTCATTGTCTCACACTTTACCAAGCACCATCACGAGCCAGACCACGGGCCAAGTATGGGTAAGATAGTGCAGACAACAACAGAGGCTCTTGGGCTGGCCCCAGGGCTTCCTGGACAGCCCATGACTCCAAGGGCATGGGGAATAGGGGGTTATATCTAGATGGGCTTTTCTACCCACTTTGGTGGGGGGAAAAGTCCCTGCATGACAAGGACCCGAAAGCGTTTGGAGCCAGTGTTATCTTGTGATAGGGCAGCTGGGAGAGAAGGCAATCACTCAGGTCCAGCCCCCAAGTCCCCTTCACACCCCCAATGAGGTCTGAATCCACTTGGGTCACGGGCTTTACCACTGGCTTGTGAAGCTCTGAGCAAGTGCCAGTCTCTTCCTCGGCCTCAGTTTCCCTATCTGTGCGATGGGGAGGTTGGATTCCCCGGTCTCAAACTCCAGACTGTGCTCAATGGAGGAAGAGGGAACGCAAGAGCAAAAGGTGAACACACACCAGTCTGCAAACGAGGGAATAGGGGAAACTGAGGCAGAGAAGGAGGCAGCCTGTGTCTGCCTGCCCAGGAGAGAGGAGGGAGAGGAGTGGGTGGGGATTGCGGCACGGGATGCTCCCAGGCCCTGCTCCCTCGATATGGGGCCATTTCCTGTCCACCTAACAGCCGACTGCCCCCGCAGTGGCAAAGGTCAGGCCGGGGAGACAGGCGGATTTGAGCCTGAATCTCAGGTCTGGCATTTCTTAGCTGCAGGACCCTGGGGGGAGAGTTCTGGAGTTCTTGTAAAATGGTTAATCCCCACCTCAGAGGGCTGTCCTGAAGAGGCAGACCTGTTCCCGCTGCCGGCAAGCCTGGGGCAAAACAGAACCGGGTACCTAAGGTCCTAACTCCTGGCTCACCAGCTAGGGTGGGGGCGCTAGGGACGACCAGGGCACCTGCGTTGGGGGCCTAGAGCAGTACTGGGGTGAGTATGCGCACCCCGGGAGTGCTGGGCAGGGAAAGAGCTAGTTCGGAGCAGGAAGTGGAATGGTCGGCCCTGGGGCCAGAAGCCCAGGCTCCGCAGGAACTGCTGCAGCCCCGTAGCCGGATCCAGGACCCACTCACGTGGCTGCTCTTCCGCTCACAAGCTCTTCGTGCGCCAGAGAAGCTGCAAGTCAGCATGGGAAGATGTGACACACAGTCCGCTTGGGCACGTCTCAGACAAGTGTCCCTGGTCTCGCCCCTGCTGCGCTCTGGCCCTGGCGGGGCAGGACCCTCCGCGCCAGCTGGGGCTGCAGCGCCCCGGAGCCCTGGCCTTCCACTCTGCGCGGTCACTGCGTGGCTTCGCGACCCCCTCCCCCCCAGGACTCGGAGCTGCTTCAGGGCAGGGGTGTGTCTCCTCCACCGGAGCAGGATGGGGCACAAAACAGATGCCTGGCCGAGATTTGCTGATCGGGCAGGTCGACCTCGCTCTCTGTCACTCCTGAAACTGGCCAACTTCTGGCCTCCACAGCCGGACCACACGTGTGGCCTGGGAAGTGGGTCGCCTACCAGGACAGCAGCACGTGAGGAAAGGAGCCCTGGGCTGGGATGTGGAGACCCCGTGTGACCTTGGGTCAGTCCCCCCCCCCCCCCCCCGGCTGGGCTCCAGCTGCCCGGCTCACCTGGGCAGGTCTCCCGGCTGCACCGTTCTGCCGCCCCCGGCTTCTCTAGGCTTTGTACTGCTGGCCGAACTTCTGCCGGCGGACACAGCAACAGGTGGCCAGGGTGGTGAGGAGGATGGCCGAGACCAGCGCAAAGGTGAGGATGATGATGAGGTTGACGTTCTTGAGCCCCCCCTTCTCACAGTCCTCGGGGCGCACGTGGCTCAGGGCCACCTCCTCCTGGGAGCCGAAGCGGCAGGTCAGGTCCTGGGTGCCGTCCACGTCCACACGGCCTTGGTGCAGCTGGGCGGCCAGCCAGCCATTGCCGCAGCAGCTCAGCGGATTGCCCTGCAGGTAGAGGCGCCGGAGGCTGGGCTCCAGGCCACCCATGGCGCTGCCGGGCAGGAGGCTGAAGCTGTTGTTCCTCAGGTCCAGTACCTCCAGGGACACGGCCTGCGTCCAGGCGGGCAGACGGCTCAGGCGGTTCTCGGCGAGGTTGAGACGCTTAAGGCAGCTGAAGCAGGGCAGGTCCACTTGCAAGACGGCCAGCCCGTTGCCTTGCAGGGCCAGGACCTCCAAGGAGGCCTCCAGGCCTGCCAGGGCCCCTGTGACCACGTCCAGCCCGGGGTTCGCAGAGAGGTCCAGCTCGGTAAGCGGCGTGTGGAGGAAGGCCCCCGCCCGCAGCCGCTCCATCTCGTTGTCCACCAGGTTCAGGATGCGGAGGGAGGAGAGGCCAGAGAAGGCCACACACCCCAGGGCTCCAGGCTCCCCCGGGCCCCCACAAGGCCTGACCCGGTTTCCCTGAAGGTTCAGCCTCTGCAGACTGGCCAGGCCAGCAAAAGTGTACGGGGGCAGGTCCTGCAGGGCGTTGTCCTGGAGGAGCAGCGTCCGCAGGGACCCCAGCGCTCTGGAGGCCAGCGCCAGCGTCACCAGCGCGTTGTGGCTCACGTCCAGGTGCACGAGGCAAGGCAGGAAGCCGGCGCGCAGCACCGCAAAGCCTCGCAGGCAGTTCCGACTGAGATTCAGGAAGCGAAGGGAGGTCAGGGGCTCCAGAAAGCCCTCGGGGACCAGCTCGATCTCATTGTAGCTCAAATCCAGATTCAGGAGCTGGGAGAGGGGGTGGCTGCTGGCGTTCCGGCTGGGGTTCGAGAAGGGCAAGGCCGACCAGCCCTCAGAAGGTGCGTGGATGCCCTCGCCGCCCTGGGGTGGCCCTGCAGGGAGCCGGATGAGGTTGTTGGACACGTTCAGGTAGATGAGGCTCGGGAGCGCGGCCAAGTCGGGGAAGTGGAGCAGTTTGTTCTCCCGCAGGTCGAGCCAGGCCAGCTGATACTCGGCCCGGGGCTCGGGGGCCGTCTGAAAGGCCTCAATACTGTTGCAGCTCAGGTCAAGTACTCGCAGCTGCTGGAGGCTGAAGTCGGAGATGCAGGTGAGGGAGTTCCTGGAGAGATTCAGGTGGGCCAGGTGGGGCAGGGCCTCGAAAGCACCGTCCTCGATGTCCATGAGCACGTTGCTGTGCAGGTCGAGCCGCTCGAGCGCAGGCGTGCCCCAGAAGGTATGGCGGGCCAGGCGGGTCAGGCTGTTCTCGGCCAGCGAGAGGGCGCGCAGGGCGGGCGCCTCCCCCAGCAGCCGCTCCACCAGGCCACTGTACAGGCTGTTCCCCGACAGGTCCAGAGATGTCACACGAGGCAGGGGGCCCAGACCAGGGGTGCTCAGCACGGTGCCCGCTGCCAGGCGGTTACGGGCCAGGTTGAGGTGCTCCAGGTGGGGCAGGGCCTGGAAGACACCTGTCTGGATGAAGCTGATCTCGTTGGTGCTCAGGTCCAGGTGTCGAAGGGCCACGTAGAAGCCCAGGGGTGAGGCCAGGATGCTCCGCAGCTGGTTTCCAGATAGGTCGAGGGCCTCGATGTCCCGTGGGAGCATCGAGGGGACCTGGAGCAGGCCAAGACCCTGGCACGAGACCTCCTTGTCGACCTGGGGTGGGTTGGGGAGGACAGGGAGAGCAGTGGGACTACAGCATGGGGTGGAACCAGACACACCTTCTAGGAAGGATGCCTCAAGCCCCTCCCCAACCCCAGCCAGGCTTAGCTAGGCTTCTCCTCTGGCTCCCAAGGTGCTCCACATTTCTCCCCCCGCAGCCCAATCCTCCCACATCTGGACGATCCCTATCTTGCTCCCTGCCCCCACCTCTGGCACTCAGTACTATGCGGGGCATCAGAGAGGGACTTAAGAAAGTTTGATGGATACACAGACACAGAAAAGACAGATATGAAGACAAACGAACTCACAAAACACCCTATACTGACTATTATCCAATTTCACAGGAAATTGAGCCATATATCGCCTGGAGGGACCCCAAGCCAGTGAACAGCAGGGTCGAGCTGGAACCTCGGGCCTCCTGGGTCACATCCTGGGTTCCTTTTATGGGCCCAGATAGTTAAATTTACCCAGCGGCTGTTACACCAGAAACCATTTGGGGAGAAATGTTTCCAAAATGCAATTTGCACTCCTCTCACCGGTTTTTATTTTGGCCTCCTACCCTCAGCCCTCATTCCAGCCCTCATTCCATGGGGCAGAGCTCCGGGTCCCGGTGCCTGCCTTTCTCGCCACGGACCCCCAGCTGAGACCTCCTTTCTGCTGCTTCCACCTGCCCCACCTCCATCAGTGGGCTGGCCCTCCATGGCCTGGTCCAGATTGGCCCCTGGAGATGGGAGTGGGGGTAGGAAGCCGGGGGAAAGATGGCCAAGGTCCCAACCCACATTCTTGGGTGACAAGACTACGGTTTTGCTATGCAAGCCTCACCAAGTCCCATTACCACTCCAGGCTACTTGTATCCAGAAAGCAGCACCCTTCCCCAGCACCCACTCAGCGTTTTACATTTTATTTAGCACGTTCAGGCCCATGGTCTCCCTGGAGCCTCACAAGAGCAAGAGCTCGCACATCAAATATGATCACCCTTCTGTTCAGAAACCCAAGCTCAGAGAGGGTGGGGGGGCTCCGGGGTCACCCAGCTGAGGAGCAGCAGAGCTGGGGTTTGAACCCGTATCTGTTCACAACCAAAGGCCAACTTCATTCTTCTAAGCACATGTGCCTTCCAGAGCCTGATTTTTTTTCTGTGCAAATATAGTCTCCCTCTCACCTTTTCAAAGACCCCAGGAATCCAGCCTTTCTCAGGAAAGGGTCTGACTTCCACAACCACTCAGCTCAGGCCCACTCCCGCCCTGGGCTTTCTACATCACCGGCCCCTTCTGACCCCTCCACCTGCCTAATGCCTGGCAATGGCTAAAAGAAAGCCTTCACTCTGTGCTACTCTCTGCTTCCACCCCTCCCGGGCAAAATCCAGGACATTCAGCAGGGTTCAAGGCTGTTTGTGGCTCTTGCTGACCTGTCCTCTCTCCACCCAACCCACTCCCACCCCACTCCAGCCCAGCGCATATGCAGTGACCACACCTGACCACTGCCCTCTGTGCCCTCGCTCACCTACCTCTGGGCCTCCTCCCTGCTGTTCCCTGAGCTGGTTATCCCTCCCCCTCCCCCCCCCCAGGTCTGCAGGGGAACCTTGGTGTTTGGTGTACTGAGCCGGGCAGGTGGGGCCTCCTCTGGGCTCTCACCACCCCGGTGCTCCCTCTCTCATAGCTTTGGCCTCTGATTGTGACAGTCTGTGTGGGTCCTGCCAGGCAGGGAGCTCAGAGCTAACAGGGATTGGTGTGATTGGTGTGGATACCTTGGACCTGGCCCACAAAAGGTGCTCAGTACATTTTTTTAATGAATGAAAGAGTCACGGACATCACTGGCTTAGTAAAAGACTCAGGGATTGAATCAATCACCTCTCTGAAAGGAAAGAAAAGAGACAATCCATGTCTTCTAACTGACCATTAGAGTAAAAAGACTCTGGCTCCCCCACTTCCCTGATGGGGAGACAGAACCTGAAGATGGCAGTGACCTGTGCAAGGTCACAGTGAGTGGCGGAGGGCCCCCCCCCAAGCAGGAACACCAGCCTGGGGGTGCTCCCTGCCTGGCCCAGCTCTTGGCTTCCTCCCCAGAGCTCCAAGGGGAGTGCGGGAGAAGGGAGGGGGACAGAACTGCCTTCATCAGGCACCTGGGTGACTCTTCCCGCTCCTGATAGTCCAGGGACTTGGCCCTACCTACTCCAACCAAGCAGCTTCCTCGAGGCCTCAGAGGCCCATGGCCACCTGAGCTCCCCTCTAAACCACAAGCCTAGCCCAGCCACCTTGCCAGCCCTGCCTGGCTCTTGGCTTCCTCCCTCACAACCTCTCCACCAGCTCAGGCCACTGGGCATGGCCTCCTCTTCCCTCTCCTCAGCTCCCTGGACCATCCTGACTGAAGGAAGAAACAGCAAAAGGAATAGCAGGACCACCTGTCATGGAGCACCAGCTCTGTGGCAGGCTCCGTGGCTGAGTGCACAGAGCCCTGGCCTCGTTTAATCCCGGCACGTATTAGTTACCCTGCTGAACCCCGGGGTGAGCTTCCCCCAGATTAGTCAGAGGCTCCAGAGTACCAGCCAAGTTCCTTTCCCTATTGGTGCCAGCCGAGGACCCAGGCTGACTCCTTCTACACGGTAAATAGTACCAGCCAGCATTTGCTGAGCATCTGCTGTGTGGGGGGCACTGTACTGGGATCCACGAGACCCCACACCCCGTTTCATCTCCGCATATCAAAGGCTCCCAAGACACCAGCCCCTGAGAGCTGAGCCAGGACACAAAGCTGGCCAAGCCCAGGGCCTAAGACTTGCTTTCTACTCTGGTGCCCACAAGGCCCAGTGGGGGCCGCTGGTCGGCAGGGCAACACCGGGCTGCCCATCCAGAAGGAAGCTTGAAGGCCAGGGCCGCTCTCAGAACTCTTTCTAAAGGTGCCCATGGCTCCCTGAGCTCGGAGCCTCCAGCATGACAGACATAGCCAAGTTCAGCGCTACCCTTGACAACCTGCTACTCACTCTCTCTGGGATGCCAGGATGCCACTGCCCCCATTTTTTTTTTTAAGGAAGGAAGAGGACTTGCCACCCAACTCCATTTGGCCTTCTGTGCATAGAAGGGCAACAGGGTAGAAAGAAGTACCGGCAGTGGCCAGCATAAGCTCGGGAGAGCTGGGTTCATGTCCTAGCTCTGGGACTTCCTGTCTGTATGACCCTGGTGTGTCACATCTCTTCTTTGAGCCTTGGTTTCCTCCGCTGAAAAGAGGAGTTATTTGCAGGATAAAAGGAGAGAAAGCCTTCAGTGTGGTGGGGCACCTCACGAGCCCTTAGTGTGTGGCAATTTCTTTTTACTATTTTGAAAATGATCATAATCCCTGTACTGATCTTCCACAGTAGTTCAGAAAGTGCTTTCCTGCCTATCATCCACCCAGAATCCAAAGCTCACCCAGCCTCCCTCTGCCTGTGGGCTGGTCCGGGCCCTTCACCTCTCTGAGCCTCTCTCCCCAGGCAGAATGTGGCGCTGCATTTGGGAATGTCTGAGGCCTCCTCTGCTGATTATTCTGGGATCTGGGAATCTCAGAAGGGCTCTGAGGAGCAAGAAGGGAGGTGGTAACAGCAGGGCATGGCCAACCCCAGGGAAGGGCTGCAGGCCCCTGCCTCTCAGCACTCCCAGAGGCAGCTGCCCCACCTGTGTCAGAAGCTTCCAGTCCCGGCTCCAAGTGGGGCTGCTGGAGGGCCTGTCGCTTCCCCAGCCCCACTCCTGCCTTGACCTCAGTGACTGCCCGGCCTTTTAAGGGGACCTACGTGGTCCCTTTTCCCTGTATCCTGCAGGGTCCCAGTGACTTCAGGGCTAGTCCCCCTGGCCAAGGGTAAGAAAAAGGGACAAAAGTAAATCAAACCTTGTCCCTGCCCTGAAGAAGTTCTTGGTCTACCAAGTGAAACAGGCTTGGACCCATTCACCAACTACCCCATGTGCTCAGTATGAGAGTCCAGAAAACGGCACACAGAACCAGATCAGCCTGGGAGGGGTCGGGCAGGGCTCTCTGGAGGAGGCAGGATTTGATCTGGGTAGCAATGAGTGAGAGGCATCCCATCAGGGAAGCAGCAGACGGGCCCAAGTCAAGGACCTATTAGGAAAGGGGATTTGGCCATGAGGGACCCGGCTAGACCACCCCAAGTTCCCCACACATACATATATTCTAGATCACCCCGAGGGTCCACTGCCCTGCAGGGGCAGCTGGGGGAAATAGAGTCCAATCTCAGTCCCACTGGTCCTAGTTGAATGCCCTTGAACAAGTCGTCTAACCTCTCTAAACTGCAGTTTCCAACTCTATAAAATGGGAATAATGGTACTTACTGACAGGATGAAGAGTACATCAAGTATTTAAACATCCTAGTAGGTACTCATGAAATGCAAGGGTTAAATGCATTAAATGTGTTCCCTTTCCTCTTCTAACTCCCCTGACTTCTGGCTTGTGGGCTGGGGCAGTAGACACCCTGGGGGGCTTATCCCGCCTGGGCAGGGCTTCTTACCATCTCACAGGGCACCTTGTCTCCCTGTTGGGAGGTGGCCAGGCCCTGGGTCAGCACGGCCAGGAGCAGCAGGATCTGGTGGCTCATGGCTCTGCAGAGGGTGGGGAGGAAAGGGAAACATTGTAAGACCCCTGGCTCCTTTCCTCTACCAGCCCCCATCGCTCCCATCCTGCCCGTGCCTGCCTTCAGCGAGCCCCAGATCACAGCTAGAGCTGGACCAAAGGTGCCGTGAATGACCGTGGATGCTGGGGTCTGCAGCTGACCACAAAGGACCTCTCGTGCCAGGCCAAGGAGCTAGGCTGTCACCCCAGGCAGCAAGAGTTTTGAAGCAGGTGGGTGACTTGGTCAGATCAGGGTTTCAAAAGACCCTACCTGAGGGAAGACTGCCTGCAGGGGGTGAGCGGGAGACAGAGGGACTCTAAGGGCTGCCTGGAGCCAAGCTCAGGGCTGTGGTGGGGTCAGGTGGGGAGCTAGGCCTCTGACTGCATTTCCACCCAGGTCCTAAGCAGGTCCCCCATCTCAGTTTCTTAGGCCCCAAACGGAATTCCTCAATCTCCCCACCCCTAGACTTTTATTTTGCCCTTTTTCTTTTGATTTTCTGATTCTGGAGTCCCTGCCATTGTTTGAAGGCTGGGCCTGGAGCCCTGACAGGAAGCCCCGCCAGGAGGCCTGCCCTGCCCCCAGCACTGTTGCTGCGGACTTCCCCAGGAGCAGGCTCCAGGCCCTTTACTTTCACTGAAGTTACCACCAGCGCAGGGGGCCACTCAGGCCTGCTGGTGTTCTCTCTATGTACAACCAAGGTGGCGTTGAGGGGGACCGCAAAGTCAAAGCCCAGTGCTGCGAGGGGCTCACTTACTGAGGACTTGGCCCAACTGCTAGGAGTACACATCAAGTCCCTTTCTTTCTTTCTTTCTTTCTTTCTTTCTTTCTTTCTTTCTTTCTTTCTTTTCTCTTTCTTTCTTTCTTTCTTTCTTTCTTTCTTTCTTTCTTTCTTTCTTCTTTCTTTTCTTTCTTTTCTTTCTTTCTTTCTTTCTTTTCTCTTTCCTTCTCCTTTTCTTTCTTTCTCTTTCTTTCTTTCTTCCTTCCTTCCTTTCTTCTTTCCTTCCTTCCTCCCTTCCTTCCTCCCTCCCTTTCTCTCTCTCTCTGTCTCTCTCTCTTTCTTTCACACCTTAACTGAATGCTTCCTCAAGTCTGGCTCTGTGTTGGGAACTGGGGTCACAAATAAATGCACAGAAGTGACCAGATGCATACAGAGTGTTCACGAGGAAGGACACATAAAGCCCTCCAAGAGCACTGGACTCAGTCACCCATAACTGACTGCTCTCTCTTTCCCTCCACTTACCTGCTATGGGACCTGTACAAGTCACTTCACCTTTCTGAGCCTCAGTTTCCTCTTTTGAGATTAATGCCAACTTTGCTAAGTTTTGGTAAACATCAAATGAGATGCATTGTATGAAAGTACCTTTACAGAGCCCTTATTATGCACCAGGCACTCTTCTCCATACTTCAAGGTATTAACTCACTTAATCCTTACAGTAATTTAAGGACTTGGTTCTATGATTACCATTCCCATTTTGCAGATGGGGAAACTGAGGCTCAGAGAGATCAAGTAACATGACCAAAGTCACACAGCTCACTAGTGGCAGGCCCACGCCATCTTTACCCTTAACCTCTACTCTAGAACGTCACCCACAGGTGCTCGATAAATGAGTGCTGAATTGCAACTCTGAAGGGTGCTTTAGAAGAAGAGGCATCTATAGGATCTTTGAGGACTGAGTCTTTGACTGTTGGAATCCCCTAGTGTCCTGGTGATGAATTTTAAATTAAGATGGTTACTCTGAGGCTTTTTCTGGTCCACACACGCCTGGGCCACAGTGGTGTCTTTTCAACCCCATTCCCTGGGTTCAGCTCGGGGCCATGGGCCCCCTGCCCACCCCATCCCCCACAGCTGCTCTTCTCTCACCTCCTGCATTCATAGGAAATTTGGTTCTGCTGTTTAAGCAGAACATCATAACCCATTTGAAAGCTAGTGTATTCAGAATTGAATGGAAACCTCCAGTGGGACCTTTACACTCCTTGGGGAGTGTGCCTGCCCACCCCAGCTCTTTCCCCCAGCTTCATGGCTGACTGTCTCCCCTCTCCTGCTCTGGCTTCTGGCAGCCTCTATTTCCTTCAGTTCTGTGAGCACCTTTGCATCGCCCCAAGCCTTCACTTCCTACGCCCTCTCGTGCTGAATGCCTCCTCATCCTCTGGGTCTCAGCTTAGATATCGCTTCCTCCAGGAAGCCTTCTCTGATTCCCCAAGTCTGGGTAGCTCATCTTCCAGGTTCCCACAGATGCTGAGCTTCAAGTGAGCACAGCACCTGAGCACTCCGTGGTTCGTTCCTCTGACCCCGGCTCCTAAGGGAGGCACCCCAGGGCAAAGAGGACTCACTATCTACACCACCGGGCAGGCCAGGGAGGCACTGAGAACTGACACAAGGTGACACTGGCAAGAGCAGTCCTTCTTGACTCTGTCTTCATCTCCCTGCCATACTCCTGCCCCCCCATCAGCAGGTTCTGTCTGTTCTGCCTGAAAAACAGACCCTGAGTCTGCTACCTCCTTCCTGCATTGCTGCCCCACACTGAGGCACCACCACAACCCTGGGTCTCGAAAGCAGCAACACCTGCTTCCACCCTGACCCCCTTCAGGTTGTCCTCCACACACAGCCAGAGTGACGTCTTTAAATCATATATCAGAGCATGGGTCTCACTGCTTGAGAACCTCCAATGAAATCCAGGCTTTACACAATCTCCTCCCTGACCACATCTACCATTTGTCCTGCCCTTACCAAATTCTAGCTTTTTCACCATTCCTCAAACATAGCAAGTGCATTCCTGCCTCAGGGCCTGGAATGCTATCCCCCAGATTCCCACACATTTTGTTTCCTTGCATTGATCATTTCCTGCTAATTTCTTTCTTTCTTTTTTTTTTTTTTAAGATTTTATTTATTTATTTGAAAGAGAGAGAGAGAGAAGGAGCAGGGGGACGGGCAGAGGGAGAAGAACAAGCAGACTCCCCGCTGAGCAGGGAGCCGGATGTGGTGCTTGATCCCAGGACCCCAGGATGCTTGATCCCAGGACTCTGGGATCATGACCTGAGCCGAAGGCAGATACTTAACCAACTGAGCCACTCAGGAGCCCCTCCTGTTCATTTATTTCTGATTCTATGAGAACAGGGGTCTATTAAGTGGTGCTCACCAAACATCTATTGAACAAATGGCGAAGTGAGGGGTAGAAGCTCTACTTCAGGGGGCTGTGAGGTCAGGACAAGGAAGGACCTGGATTGGTTCTGAACCTGAAGGCAGGGCTGCTCAAAGGAGCCCTCACTACGCCCCTCTTCCGCCTGTCAAATTTCACAAATTACCCCCAAGGTGGGCACCTGTGCATCCAGCAGAAGTCCCCGGAGCCCGTGGACCTCTGCCCTGGCATCTCATCTGCGGGCCCCCTTCAGTAGTGTCCCCGACTCGCTGTGTGGCCCGTGAGGGCCACTCACTTTCAAGAGGGAGGACTGTGGTCACTTAGACCCAGGCTTACATTCAGACACTACTGCTTCTGTGCTCCCTGTGCCTCAGTGTCCCATCTGTGCAGCAGGTCGCCTGGTGGCTGTTCTGCCACTGGCTTCCCCCAGCCACTGTGATGATGGAGCTGAGAGTGGCTGTGAAGGTGTCCTGGACACATCGTGGACAATGACCCGGAGGGCCGAACGGCCCAGGTGAGGCACGCTGAGGAGGGAGGCCCCAGGCCTGCCGACTAGTAGCCTAGGCAAGAGAAGGCAGGAGACATTTTAAGACTCTGACTGGCCTCCCAAATGCCAGAGAATATCCGTGTGTGTGTGTGTGTGTGTGTGTGTGTGTGTGTGAGAGAGAGAGAGAGAGAGAGAGAAATAGTGGGGGGATGGGGGAAGGCAATGCCTATTATACTATTATAATAAGGCTGTCCCTACTATTTCAGGGCATTAGACACTGTTCTAAGCACTTGATCTGTATTATCTTATTGAAGTCACAATGCAATAAGGTGGTTATCATAATTTCCATTTTACGGATGAGAAAACTGAGGCTCAGAAAGTGACTTAGCCCATAGTTCATAAGCATTTAGGGGGTGGGGGTTAGCCCGGGTCTACATGACCCAAATGCTGTGTTTTCTCCATTAGGTGCTGAGCTGCCTGCTCCCTCCTCTATAGAACTACTCTTACTGTGCCCAGGAGGAAAACAAGGCTCAGAGAGGTGACTTACCCAAAGTCACACAGGCAGTGAATAGCAGGTGGAGTCAGAATCTGGTCTGTCTGCCTCCACTACACCAGGCCAAGATCTCCCTCCTTAACCACCTCCAACGACCCCCACCCCCACCCCTATACACATAAACAGACAAGCTCACAGGGCTGGGCTCTGGGGTGCTCCTCTCCCTCCTCTCAGCCCCAGTCACCAGCACAGTAGGGTCCTGGGAGAGCTGCTGTGGACGTTCATACCAAGCAGTGAATCACTAAGGGCAAGCCCCATTCTGGAGACATGTGCATCCCACGGGGGAATTAGACCTTAACCCAAAGGAATGTAGCTGTGATGGCGGAATTTCAGGCAGCTCGGGTGGGGGTGGGGGTCCCTCACATCTTACCATTCATGAAGAAGGCCGGCTTCAGAACCCCTCAGGGAGAGGTGGGTGCCCCCCCAGTCCCCACCCAGAGATGGGCAAGCTATTTGGTGCGGTGGGATGGAAAGCGCCGGCCCGCCTGAGTCCGAGGGCAGCAGGAGACTTGGATTCAAATCCTGATCCGCCCTTGACTAGCTGTGAGTTCCCAGGCAAGTAAGTGCCGGCCTTTTGGCCGCTGTTTTCCCATCTGTCAAATAGGAACGCCGGCCTCTCCCTTCGCGGGAAAGATCAGCTGAGACAGGGTCCCGCTCGGCTCCGCGCGGGGAGTGGGGGCGGCGGCGGGAGGGGCCCACTGGGGGGCGGAGGGGGGCATCGGGATGGCCCGGCCGCACCCCGCGCTCTCCAGGGGCGCGGGCCAGCCGGTTCCCCGAGGGGCCGGCAGCCTCGCCCGCGGGGCGGCTCCTACCTGGCTCAGCGCGGCCGCCGCTCCTCTCCCGCGCAGCCCCGGCACATCTTGCGCAAACCTGCCCCCCCACGGCCCCACCCCGCGCCAGACCCCGGGGTCACGGCCCGCGGAGGCCCACGGCTGCTCCACTGCCCCACGGGAACCCGACCCGCGAGGGGGCGGCTCGGGCTCCAATTTAAATACCTCTCCCGCCGACCCGCCCCACCACGCCCCCCCCTCGGCCAAGCTGCGGGGTCCTAGCGCCCGGCCGGCGCGCCCCCGCGTGACTCGGTTTCTCCGGAACGCGCGAGGGGTTGAAGCATCTTTCCGCGGGAACCCCGGCTGGGAAGGGGCGGGGTGGCAGGGGGCGGGATGAAAGGGCCGGGAGGGAGGGGGGTCGCTAAGGAAGCGCGGGGCGGGCGAGGCCGCCCGGACCGCCGCACGTGCAGCTCGTGGCCCCGCGGGGTCCGGAGGGGCGGGAGTGGGGCGGGGGGAGCTCCAGGAGCCCGCAGGTCCGCAGAGGAAATCCGGCCTGGCCCCGTTTTCCCGTTGCCGGCGCCGCCGCACTTAGGGTGAGCAAACAGGAGAGGTGACGGCGGGGCTGAACGCGGAAGGAAATGACCCTTCTCTGGCCCTGGGGCGGCCACAGAGGGGGTTCCCCACACCGCGGCCATCCCCTCTGACGAGTCCAGGCAGGTCCCTTCCCCTCTCTGATTGTGCTCTCTCCTATCCGCGCTGCGCTTCCTCCTTCATCTCCCGGACCCTTAGGCAGTCCTGTGAAATGGTACCATCAAAGTCCCCAGTTTTCAGATGGAGAAAGTGAGGCTAGGGATGGGACAGCGAATATCAATAAAAACCAGTTGTCTGGGACTAGTAAGGTCCCCATTTATATTTAGGGAAACTGAGTCTCAGAAAGGTTACACGGCACATCCAAAGTCGCACAGCCTGTAAGAGCGGGTATTTGAGCCCAGTCTGTCCACAAAGCTAAGTCCAGGCCGATCTGGATGCTCTTTTCAGGCACCATCTTGCTTAGGTAGGTTTATAAAGTGTCGAGGGAAAGTAGTATGGTTGTATTCTTGTCTTTTGCATTAGAGGTTGAGGCACATCTTCCCCCAAAGCCACCCCCTCTCCCAGATGCCTTGGCCCTCCCAAATCACAGGTACTCTGCCCTGCTAGGTGTTGACCCCAGGGTGGGGGTACCTGGGAGAGAAAGGTCATGGCCATCCTCTGGGCCCTGGTTCCAAGGATAGAATGTGTCTCTTCCCAGCCCTGACAGTGACACGGGGTGCCCCATTTTACAGATGGGAAAGTGAGCCCCCAAAGCTTCATGGTAAATCAGGGTAAAGCTGGGCTTAGAAGCTGGGATCCCTGAATCCCTAGGTGGCTGCCATCTTTACTTCCTCCCATCTGGCTCACGTTGGGGACAGGCCTGCGCAGGTGGGGACAGTCCAGAGAGGATAAAGTGTGATAGCAGGGGGCCCAGGGCCTAACCTAGCCTCAGCAGAGGAGATCAGGGAAGTCTTCCCTAAGGAGGGGCCTGAACTGCAATGAAGGTGTGGGTAGGAAAGGGTGCAGAATAGGGAAGGATGTCCAAACCTCCCTCGTCTCTCTCAGCCACTGGAGGCCTCAGATTTATGCTCATGGAGGTCCCAGCTGGTCACCCCAACCCTCTCTCTGGACCCTAGAGCTCTTCTGGTCGAATGGAACCTCTGTTTCCCTGCCTCTAAAGTGAAGAAGATAGCAGCTACTTCTTGAGGTTGGTGGAAGCCAGCAGAGTACAGGGAAGCCAGCCTGGGGCCTGGACCCAGCGGATGTTAGGTAACTGGTTGCTGTTTTTATTGGTGATACCTCTGCTGTAGCCTGCTGGCTTCCTTGTCCAGATCCTTGTGCAAGGGGCCAGATGTCCAGAAAGTGCTGCACAGCGTCTCTGCAGCATGGGCAGAGCACGGCTGCGCCAGAGGCAGGCATCTCCCGGGGTCTCCCATGCGACCTGCTCCCGCCACATCCAGGCCCAGGCCGGCTGAGTGCCAGCTCATCTTTCCCTGAGCTGCTGCCAAGCAGAATCACTGGGCTGGCACAGAGCTTTGGCTGGTCTGGGGGTAGGGCAGGGCTGGAGCTGTGACAGGCTGGGGGACAGCGGTCTGCCTCCCACATACCCCCAAAGGCTGTGGTTGTGGTTAGTTAGTTCATGGAGTTCCACCTCACTCAGTGTCCGGATGGGGCTCCCCAAGATTTGGAGATAGATGGGCAACCAAGTGTGGCTACCTGCTGTGGGTGCCCCTGGGGACGGGAGACTAAAAGCCAAGAACACCACGTGCTCAGCACCCCTTCCTTCGTCCTTTCACTTCTTCAGCACTCATGTTGCTATGTGACTTTTGGCAAGTTGCTTAATCTTTCTGACCTCAGTTTGAGGATCTGCAAAGTGAGACTAATAATATCATCTGACGTCGTGGCTTGCTGTAAAGAATCAAATGCAACCGTGTGTGTAAGGTACCTAGGCAGAGGTCTGGCCCGTGGTACTTGCTCAGTAAACATGACCTCCCTTCCCTGATGGGCCCCAGAAAGCTGAGGAATAAAAGCATCCGGGACCTACCCTTGTGGAGCTCCCAGACCAGATGGGAGGCAGATGAGAACATAGGATGATTGAGTCCAGAGGCCTCGAAGGCCGAGTCCGGGAGTCTGAGCTTGATCTGAAGGAGGGGGAGAGGTTGGAACTGAGCAGGGTCAGGGTGGCCTGGCAGCCATGTGTGTGTGTGGGGGGGCAGTGGCTTTCTTTAAAAGGCCACCAAGGCCAGCTTGCCATCCAGTGTTGATTAGTCCCAGCTCACGCACCTCCAGGAATAGGGAGTTCCATCAATGGGCAGCTCCGTCTGGACTGTGTTGGTATTTTTGTGAAAATGCTTCCATTCCCTCATCCCTCTGTCAATGAAGATAGTAGATGCGTCTTTTCCTGTGTCCTTAGGACTACCACCTTTAACTGAGAAGACCGTCTCAGGCACCAAGTTGGGCTCAAGGCTCCCTGGGAGGGCTTTACCTCAGGCCAAGATGAAACCCAAAAGTCTCAAGTAAGAGTGAGCGGCCCCTGAGACCACACAGGATGGCCCAGGAAGGCAGTGATGTGCACATCCTGTGTGACCTTGGGCAAGTCTCTAAACCCCTGGGCCTTGCTGTCCCCATGTAACTGTAAAACTGAAGTGGAAAGGACCATGGCACCTTGGGCCCTCAATTTGGTTTCCACTGCTCTTTGCTGAACCCCCACTGTGGGCCAGTCTTTCATCTCATGTGGCAAATCAGGATAAAAACAACCACAAAGAGCCTTTCAGTTAGCTGTCTTTATTATCAATTACTGACTAGGCAACAGGTTCACCGAGGTTAAGTAACTGGCCTGAGTCACACAGCTTTGGAGTCAGGAATTGAACCCCGGTCTCTGTACTCCCAGGCCAGATCTCAGTGCAAGGACATGGCCGTCCTCACTCTCTGCCCCTGCCTAGCGCCTCTGTGGGCCCCTGGGAGTCAGGAAGTCCCTTATCAGCCCCTCCTGGGGCCCTGCCTTCTGGGGCAGAACCCTGGGTTCCCCAGTTCTTTTACCGCCAACCCCCCCTTTGCTTCCTAGGGCAACTGGGTTCAGACCGTGCCAGCTGTGGGCCAAGTCCTGGAGTCACGGTAGGAGAGGAAAGCAAATGTTGCTGCATGTCAGCTGTAGGGAGTTTGTGAGCCAAAAGCCCACGTTGGGTGCTTGGGAAATAAGCACTTATAAAGGGGCAAGAGGTGTGTCCCTTGCTCTGAGAAATAGCTGATGTGTTAAATGGGAGTAATGAGGGCTTGCAAGACCAGGCCCGGGGCTAGGTACTACACTGGAACTCTCTCCTCCTCACGGCCATCCGATGAGGTGGGGACTGTTGTTGCCCCCTCTCACAAAAGAAAGACCGAGACTCAGAGGGATGGAGTGACTTGCCCATAGTCACACGACAGAAAAGGGCACAGCAACCATTTCCATCTGCGTCCTCAGACTCCAAGGTCCTCACGCATGGCCAGGGACTAGCTTGGTAAGTTTTCTGTTCTCAGTGGGGGCCCGAGACCAATGCAGGGGAAGGCGAGGCCCTGTGTACCCCTCCTCAGCCGCACAGGAGGCTCCGGGCTCTGAGCCTGGTCATCGAGAACTGGTTCTGAGGAGTCTGCAGGCTCTGGGAGGCCCCAGGGGAGAGGGGGGATGGTAGATGAGAAAAGTCGAGACTGGGCGAAACACGCAGGCAGGATCAGAAGTGTCTCCAGAGCTTGACTGGGCTGCGCTGTGGACCATGAAACCACAGGTCTCTGCAGCACCCAGGCTGCTGGGAACTTGAAGGTTTGTCCCTTTGAGCCACATAACTTTCTCTTCCATTTTAACCATTTGAAGGTTGAACCCCATGTAACCTTTGCTGATCCAGAGTTATTGGTATGGGCTTGGATTATAGTCCACGATGTCGTAAGGAGTCATGTCCAAGAGCAAAGCCCAGGGGGAGACAGCAGGCACATGAGTGCCCCTGAGGACAGCGTGAAGTAGAGGCCGGGCGGCCGAGCCGGCCCGCCTCGAGCAAGTCATTCTCTCCTGGTAGTCTCAGTTTCTCATCTATGTACTTGGGACCGTCATTCTGCCACCTCACCGTTGAGGTGTTGAGATGATACTGTGGAAAGCCGAGTGGAGTACGGGTTGTTGGGTCAGTATGATTATTGATGTCGTCTTGCTCACCTGAGAGGCTGTGACTCTCCGGTTGACTGAAGGGACCTGTTATTGGCAGATAAAGCACCCAGTGATAGGAGACCATGACTGGGAGCGGCTGAGGTAGAGGGACCCAAGTGCTATAGGTGCAGTGGGCCCAGGGCTGAGGTGGGCCCTGGGCTCCTCAGACAAGGCCCGGCTCCCGTGAGGGGAAGGACTGTGGCCCAGGGAAGGCATCCCATGGTGGGCGTACCCTGCATCCAGGGTTTCCCTGGAGGTCCCTTCCGAAAGTCAGGTTCCCCGCTGTGCTGAGCTCCCAGCAGGCTCTGGGCTCCTGTCTTCCCCTGGGAATGGGGTCAAAGCCCCAAGCTTCCAGAAACTGGCTCACACGTACTCAGGTGACCCCCACAGATAAAGATCACCTCCTGAAGTTTCAGAGAATCCTACTCGCCCCTTCTACTTCCACTCAAAGAAAAGAGCAGACGCAAGGCCCCAAGAGGGTG